TTCACGTACGGTAATCTTAGACGAACCTACCGCAGGGGTGGATCCGTATGCTAGAAGAGCCATCTGGGATTTGCTAATGAAGTACAAACATGGTAAGTTTCTTCATTATGTGCCATTTGACCACATACATCATGTCAGTGCGCTTTGAGGTCAACCTTTGATTAATTCCTTTATCTGATTGTATCCAATATGTCTACTGTAAATGTGGGAACTACTAAGAATACTTACGATTTTATCATTTTTCCATGGTATGTTTGCAAAGGATGAAATGATGCAACGATGCAAAAGTGAATAATGTTGCAAAAAATGACTGTATACTGTAAAACACTGTGAAATACCTACATGTTATTCTAGCAAATTTGACTCAATGCATAAATTAACAAAATCTTAATTTTAATAGCTAAAATGCCAACAATCTCATCGTGAGAATATACTTTATTCTAAAGTAGCGACATCTTAAATTAGCGAAATTACAGGTTAGCTAAATTAGCTAAAAATGCATGCTAGCTAAAACGACATGTTTTACAATATATACAATCATGTATTTCTGAATATCCCTAGTCAGCCATTCATTTTCCAATTTTACAACAACTTTGTTGAATGATTCATGACACAGACATAAAGAAGACATGTAACTGACAAGATATATTCAGATATATTGCACTCACAGTAATGTATCATTGATATATACATGGACACTACATCTGTAGAAATCCATGTATATATCAATGTTCACAATGTATACATGGAAGCTACATTTGGTGTGCTGTACTGTAAAAAGGTTGAATATTCACTGGGTTTTAATTTTGTTTATTTCGCTGACTGGAAAATGCGCTAAATTAAAACTCAGTGAATATGTAAAATTTAGCATGAAACACATTATCTAAATGATAAAACCGTGAATTTAAAACCCACTGAATATCCCTGAAATGCTAAATCAGCGAAATTTAAACGTAGTGAAAGTTAATCATTTTACAGTATATACATGTACCTATGCCATCTTAGCTTTTCTGTACTTTCGAAGCTTTCACTTCATACATGAATGGAAATCTCAAAGAAATGTTATACAGAGGCAGAAATACGTCTAAATTATTGAAATATAATTTCAGGTCGTACCATCTTGCTATCCACACATCATATGGATGAAGCAGACCTGCTGGGTGATAGGATAGCAATTATTGCTAATGGACAATTGAAATGTTGTGGCTCATCATTATTTCTGAAGAGTAACTATGGTAACGGGTACAAACTAACGATAGTAAAGAAACCGACTGATTATACTTCTGCTGATAATACAAGTATGGAAAACCTGATTGGTACGTATTGATGTCATTAGGTGTTGAAAACAATAGAATTTAGTTTTCCATAAATATGTCATTCAAATGTTGAATATATTTTTTATTTGAGATTTACTGCATCAAAATGATTAATCCTTAAATTCAAATATTTTAAGTTGTTGACATTGAATGCAGCTACATTGTGATACAAAAAGAATATTGGCACGCAGGCACGTACAAATCTCTTAAAAACGTTTTTTTTTGCTTGTGCCGGTATTATCACAAAACTATGACTATAACCAAAGAGAGATGTGTAACTTTCACTTTCATTATAATGTTTGTGTTCAGAACTTGATGACTCCAGTGATGTTGATGATGACAACAGCCAATCACGAAGACCTGATGTCAGTTCCTTGACATCTTACAACAGTTGTACCGAATCCGTCGTGACGGAGTTCATCCAGAAGGATATCCCAAGTGCAACTCTTACAGCCGAAAACCACCATGAATTGTCATACGTCTTGCCAAGTGAAGCTGCCAAGAAAGGAACCTTTGAGAAGTTATTTGATAATCTAAATGATCATATTGGTGAACTGTGTATATCAAGTTATGGTCTGACAGATACATCTCTGGAAGAAGTCTTCATGAAAGTGACTCAAGGGTCAAACTCAATTTCAGGTGCTTATTTCAATTTTTATATATTTATTTTAAACTTAGTTATCTTACTAAGTGATGAAAGTAACCGGTCACTGGTAGCGTAGTGGTTGTCGCATCAGACTCATGATTGGTAGACCAAAGTTCAAATCCTACCTCATCAAAAAGGTCGACCCCCCTACCCTGGGTGAGTATGCCACATACTCAATGGGAAGGCCAAATCCACTGGCCGAGATTCATTCACTAACGCATGCGAAGTTGACTTGACTCATAGCCTTGGTTGGCAGCTAGTCTGCCTCTTCAGCCAAGGCTAGGCACATGTCTGATAACAGTGGTTTGCGACAGGAAGGGCATCCGGCAGTAAAACCCCATGCCAAAAAAAATATGATGCGGAGATATTATCAGTACCGATGACCCCAGCAACTGGAAGAAGAAGAAGACTAAGTAATTAAAGTATAGAATTCCCTTAAAAATGATTGAAATTGTTTATCAATTAGTAATTTTATAAACGTCTATGTTTAATTCATGTCTTATTAATCCATTGTATTAAAGACTAAACCCAAATTACCTTTGATGTATCAAATATACTGTTATAGTTCCATTGATTGAACCATGCACAAATACATAAATTTGCGAATTATTAACTCCAGTAAGTTCTATGAGATCTCTCTTCGATCATCAATGTGTATGCACTAAGGGGTTTCCCCATTTCGATGACATCATTACCCATAATGCTTTGCAGGTATTGTGATATTAGCTCATGATGTTGACCAAGGGATTGAGAAAATACAGCTAACATTCTGACTTGTAGTCTGTTTTCATTATATGACTGACAGTAACAAGCAGTGACTACTTTACTGACACTGTTTTCATTATATGACTTGACAGTAACAAGCAGTGACTACTTTACTGACACTGTTTAGATAAATCAAAGTTGCTAAATTTTTCTCTTCCAATCAAAAATATTTAATATAAAGTTGAATATGTTAGTCAAATTTCGGCAAAAAAAATTCAGAGAGATAACCCCTGAGTGTTAGTTTACATGGATACGTCCAATAATCTACAGCTACATGTAATAGACCCTAGTTGCTGGCAATGTAATTTTTGACTCCCATGTGCTAAGCACAAAATGGGAGTCTTTGCAGTTAGTGTGTCTGTATGTGTGTATGTGTGTATGTGTGTATGTGTGTATGTGTGTATGTGTGTATGTGTGTGTGTATGTGTGTATGTGTGTCCGACTGTTCCACTGCTATCTCAAGAACCATACATCGGTTTTTGATGAAACTTGGTGCATAGATGCTCTGGGCCAATGCGCAGATTTGATTAGGTTTTGGTAAAAATCCATGCTCGTTAATTACCTAATTTGCATGATAATTAGCTAATTTTTAGCTGTTCTATGACTGTT